ATTCAAAAAAACCAAAAAAACAAAACAAAGCAAAAAAATATAGAAACGTTTCGTCTCTCATCCAAGAGACTTCCTCAGCCTGAGGTGCTGTTTTCAGCTCAGTCTCTTAAATAGCACCTTCTCAGAGTGGATCAACCAGTTTGCTGCTGACAACCAAAACCAGCTGATCACATGCTCAAGAAGGACCATCAGCCTAACAAGAAGTTAGGCTGATGGTCAGGCTGAAATCAGACACTTTAATTTCTGAATGATGTTTACGTTTTATTTCAAAACTCAAACCATCATTGGGCGCACACACATCCTCCGCAAGGAGTCATTTTTTGAATCTTCTCCCCCGTGAGCCCTGCAGCTGGTTGTTCTAGGGTGGCGCCTGTTGGCGGTCTCTGGGGAAACGCTGTACCGCTGGTTGCCGGGATGAGGAGGGCTGTTCTCTGACAGGAGGGGCTGGCGGCAGAGCGGAGCGAGAAGAAGCTGCTGCAGCTGTGGCGCATCTCTGCTGTCTCGGCCACGGCACTCTCTCCAGCGGGCGGGGGGGGGGGGGGCGGCGAGAGGAGGAGTGTGGCTTGATCAGATGGCGCACAGTCTCCGACACCTCCTCCGACTTCTTCGATTTCTAGAGCATGGCCTTGAAATTGGCTCCGAACAGCGCGTCCGTCGTGATGGGGCCCTCCAGCAAGTCCTTCTGCAGCTTCTCCAGCAGGGAGGGGGAGTGATGGAGCTAGGTGGACCTCTGGATCATCGTCATCCAGGCTGCAATGCGAGACAGACAAACAGGAGAAGAGGCGTACAGGTTGAGGATGACGTCAGACGCCTTGCAGAGGGAGCTCTTTGTCTCCTCAAGCCGGTCTGTTCCCTCCAGCCTCTTTGAGATGCTGTACGCCAGCAGCGCAACATTGTTGTTCGCTATGGCCGCCTGGAACGCACACTGGTGAGCTCGGTTGGAGAGCGACGTCACCGTCTGGTCTTGCTTCCCCGGAGGCATAGGACGCTGGTCCAACCTGGACATCTTTGCTCCGAGAGCCTCCGCCAGGCTTGGCTCCAGGGGCGACACCGAGGGAAAATTCCGCTCAGTAAACCCCTCCACTTTGGTGATGGGCGCGAATGTGGAAACCGGCGCTCTCAGTCTACCAGGTCCGGCTGCAGCCTCGTTCCAGTAGGACGTCACTGCTGGGAAACGAGGCCAGATGGGATCAGGACGGCGAGCCGGGGTGGAGCCAAATCTTCCCGCTAGATCATCCAATCTGGTCGGGGGAGGAGAGGGACGGAAAGTCCCTTCGTGTCATCCGCCTCCTGGATTATGCTGGGCATCTCCCGAGAGGAGGGCACCGACGGCTGGGAGCGGTGTGGTCGCTGATGTGGAAAGGCCCGGGGGGTGGTGAGCATCCGCTCGCCCCCCCTCGTTCCGGACACTACACTCTCCAGTCTTCTTCAGAGGTTTTTGTGTCGTTTCTTTCAGTAGTTCTTGGTACAGCGCCACCACAGGCGAGTGGGGGAACAGGTTGGTTCAACAGGTTGGCTCGAGTGCACAGTGCAGTGTGAATGCAAATGCCCTAGCTCAAATGTAAACTGAACGAGTCTACTGGACTATCAGGTGTGAAAACAACTTAACAGACGAGGAGACAGGGCTGGTGGGTGAGTGGAGGAGTCTCGGAGTGCAGCCCCCCCCCCCCCCCCCCCCCCCCCCCATCTCCTTCTGTTTGTGTGTCATAACACCAAAGCTGTTTTCTTTTTCATTTATCTTTGAACGGTTGCCTCAGGCTAACCTTTTCATTAATTGTGTAGGAAGTGCTTACAGAAAACACAAGGAGACACGAGGAGGACCAAGACATCTGATATGTCTGCAGAACAATGATCCGACGGTAAGGTGGTGACAAGGGATGGTTTAAATTACAAATGGAACAGATGAATTCAGCCTGTCTGAATGAAAAACTCCATTTTTTGAGAAAGTTTTTTTTATTTTTCACTTTAAAACCCCTGTTCATCTCAGCAGACACACACCCCTCAAAACGTCTCTGTTGCTGATGCTGGAGCCAGCTCTGTTCTCGCCAGTTGCCAGGCGTCGGAGCAGGGCGGGAAAACGCTCGGGGTAGGGTCACGTGACTCCGCACAGGGCAAGAAAACGCTCGGGGTAGGGTCACGTGACTCCGCACCTGTTCCAGGGCATCGGATGAGGACTTGTTGGTTGTTGTTGTTGGTTCAGGACTGACTGAAAATGAGGTCCGAAGAGGCAATCTGAGGACACAGGACCTTCCATGAGTTATTTTTAACGTCTTCTGGGATGGACAGAGACAGTTTCAACTACATCTGTCTCTGCAGCAACGTTGCCCAGGATGAGATGCGGGCGGAGCACGCTGCAAGCACCGCATACAGGTTGGTAATTGTGTCTGCAGCTGTGTTGATCTGGTCCAAATCTGCAGAGGATGGGTTTGGTTCCTTCGTCTCTTTAGCTATGCTAAGGGCTAACATAGCGATGTTGTTGGTGGCTGCTCCCATTTGCGACGAACACTGATGGATTCTGTCCATCAGCTTCTTGGTGAGCTGGTCACCGGAGGATGACAGGGTGATACGTCGGCCAATGCATTTCACTGCTCTCACCTCGAAAACAGCCGACAAACTGGGTTTTAGGGGAGGGATGGTGGGAAAACCCTGGTCCATGAGCCCTTTGACTTTGGTCATGGCCGTGTAGGAGGCGACCGGAGCCCTCAGCTTTAAAGGATCGTTGGCTGAACCCAGGAGAAGGGCGGATACAGCCGGGAAACAGGGCCAGACCAGGTCCCGGTGTCCAATATGCTGGGCGGCGAACCTTCCAGCCAGAAGGGTCGACGTGGCCGGGGCCACTGGTTCGGGCACTTCCAGGTTGCAGGCTCTCGCCAACCTCTCGATTATCTCCGGGAGCTCGTGGAGCAGAGAGGTGGGCTACCCCTGGGGGCTCGGTGGGGGCAACCATTGAAAGCAACACCGGCTCCAAACCTCCTGTAAGGCAGGATGGAGCACGGCTGCTAGCTGTTTCATCTTCAGAGGGGGACGTGTTCGCGAACTCCGTGTCCAGGGATTAAAAAATTCCTCGAGTGAACAGTCCCTCCTCGGTTGAAACTCGACCTCCTCAGAGAAAAGAACTCACACCGGCGCTGCTTCTCCTCAGTCGAAAAAATTTTACAGGCTGGACAAGAGAAGAGCGGATCCAAAGCTTGCCGTGTGTGGTCAGCTCCCAGGCAGCTTTCACACACGATGTGCTGGTATCGATAAGATGTAGCCCGTCAGGCTCGTTGGGCACAGACAGATGGTCTTCGATTTCTTAGTTGAAGTCATCATTCTTCTTCTTTTCTTTCTATTGTTGTTTCGTAGAAGTAGTTTTCTTAGCGTTGGCTGAAGAAAAACGAGAGTCGAGCTGCAGTCCAGATGCAATTTATAACGGACCGGGTGGGGCCCACACAGCAGGTGGGCATGGACTAGAAGATTTCAGTGTTCAGCGCACTGCGCACCGGTAAACCCAATAGCGACAGCTTTTAAAGGGCGTAGCTTACACAAACTAGACTTCAAAGGGCTTGCAGCAAAAAGCCGTTCTACAAAGTTTTGATTCAGGGATGCTGATTACAAATGTGTGCCACACTTTTAAAATTGTTTGTAAAATATTTGGAAAACCATAACATTTCCCTTCCATTTCACAATTGTGCTGTACTCGGTGCTGGCCCATCCCTTAATATCTGAGTAAAATACTTTGAAGTTGGTTTAAAGTGACAAAACATGGAAACAATCACATGATGCTGATACATTTTCAATGCACTGTAAGTGTGAACCATTTAGCTTCACAGATGAAATTTAAATAGTTGTTTATCTTGAAGTGTGCATGTGTTTATCATGTGTGCAAAGGCTGTGCATCATTTTTCTGTGACCAATGCTGCCATACTTTATTTATAGCCAAAAGAGAAGGACCAAACAATTGGAAGATAGTTTTTAACCTACTTTGTACAATATCAAACAACAAATAAAGACTGTGCCTTGAATAAAGCATGTAGCTCACTGCCAGTTCTGACTCAATCACCCAAAGGTAAGAAATGCAGCGATCTTGGTCAATCCTTGGAAATAAGACAAGACACCCATACACAAACAGAGTGGTGTAGTGTATGCGGTCCAGTGCAGCGAGGACTGTCCAGACCTCTACATTGGAGAAACTAAACAGCCTCTTCACAGACGCATGACTCAACACAGGAGAGCCACCTCCTCTGGACAAAATTCAGCTGTTCACCTCCACCTCACAGAGAAGGAACACTCTTTTGAGGACCAAAATGTGCACATTTTGGACCGAGAACACAGATGGTTTGAGAGGGGGGTGAAGGAAGCAATTTATGTAAAAAGAGAAAAGCCGTCTCTTAACAGAGGAGGAGGCCTCAGATTCCCACTTTCAAAAACATATAATACAACTTTAAAACAGATCCCCAGCCGGTTTTCACACCTGATGGGAACAGAGGGGCCTCGACTGTGAATTAGAGGAACAAAGACCTACTGTTTAGGTTTTTTTAGGTGTGAACTGCCAATCTACATATACAGTATGTGTGTGTGTGTGTCTTATGTGTGTGTGTGTGTCTTATCTCACTCAGCCTTATAACCTGTATCTCTCACTCTCTGCTCTTTGAATTGAGAAAGCTCCTCGGATGAGGAGCGAAACGTCTTCTGTTACAAATAAAGTCCAGTTGTTTTTGTATTGAACGCTTTTTGAATTCATCATGTCCTGGATGACTGAGAATCTTCACCAGCACCTTGGAAATAATGTTACACACAACCTCATATACTGTGGGATGTAATAATCAGAGTGTGTTGGGGTGACTCAGCTATAACTATTATATATATTATATATTATTATTACCATATATATACTTATACATGTAAATAAATTGAATCTTGCAGCTGAAGAGGTTTTAGTTCTTATTGGACATAAATTCTGAACTTTCTTTTGTGCCTTCTTTTGTAACAAGCTGCTTCTCTTTGGTTGTTCTCTTCAGACAATACGTGGAGCGGGACACTACGTATACGCCGACCAGCCTGAAGACTTCAACCACAAAGTTTTACAAGCGTGTGAGAAGGTGGACTGAATGCAGAGATGAGCTCAGTGTTTAAACTCAGGGACAGACAGAGCACAACTACCTGACATCACTTTATCTGCTGCTGTGGAACCTCAGGATCCAACCATCCCAAAGAAACTACTGAAGGAACGTGCGCAGATGAAAACATTAAGAACTGTGAGTTGATCAGAGTGTGACTCAGCACGAGGACATCTGGACAGTGACTCAGCTGTATTGTCAAAAGCCTGACTGAAAACAGGCTCAGAGCTGACATCATGGATCAGTAAATTCTGCTCAGCAGCAGATTTATCAAACGTTCTCCTGGAGCCTGCAAAGCAGTAGAGTGGGGCGATTGGATGAATACATCAGCCACTGGTTGTATTTTTATTTATTTATTAATTTTAAAAGAATATTTTCCACTTTATTTTACCTAGTTTAACTTTTCATTTCATGAGTTTTGACCAGGGGTCTCATCTACAAAGACTTGAGTGGATTTCCTACTGAAACATGGCATACGCTTAAATTGAGAAAACAGCGTTCACACAAATAAATCCAGATGTATGAAAGCTTGCGTGCACATGAGTCCAAGAACACTTCCTCTGTGCATCCAAATAAATGTGGAACGAAGCGCACATGAGGGAATACCCAATTAGCAACAATTTGGATCATAGTCAAGTTGATAGTTTAAAAAAAAACAGTTATGGGCTCAGTTGGTAGAGCTGCTGCCTCTCAGTTAGAAGGTCGCTGGATCAAATCCTGGCTGAGGGCCTTTCTGGGTGGAGTTTGCATGTTCTCTCTGTGCTGTGTGGGTTTTCTCCAGGTACTCCAGTTTCCTCCCGCAGACCAAAAACATCCATGTTAGACTGATTGGTAACTCTAAATTGTCTCTAGATGTGCAGAAGAGAGTGAATGGTTGTTTGTCTCTATGCGTCCCTGTGATGGACTGGAGACATGTCCTGGTGTCCCCTGCCTTTCGCACAGCGACTGCTGGATATGGGCACCATAGTGAATGGATAGATGGATAGATATACGGACGGACGGACGGACAGGCGGGCAGGCAGATAGGCAGGCAGATAGATAGATAGATAGATAGATAGATAGATAGATAGATAGATAGATATATATATATATTTGAGTCACCGTGTAGTTTGCAGGCCTTGCAGCTGAGTAAGTAAAAAACAGACAAACAGGAACAAATGTGATATCTAAAAGTTCAGTGATGCCTCTTGTCTGCTGCTTCATGCAGCTGTCACCTGTTCAACACAGTGTTGGTTAAATAAATGTCCTTTCATCATCATCTTACATCTTCTGAGGACACGAGAAGATTTTTTTTAACTTTTGCAGCCGAGATGGTGCAGAGGTAGGGCAGCCGACCTGGGACCAGAAAGTCGTGGTTCGACTCCCAGCCATGTCGCATGTCATGGTGTCTCTGAGCAAGACACCCAATCCCTAACTGCTCCACGGCCTCTCTGCCCACTGCTCCACCTGGGTGCGTCTCAGGTGTGATGGGTTACATGCAGAGAACTAATCTCGTCACAATGATGACAACACACAGCACTTACTTGCAAGGGCAGAGTTCACAGCAGGCGAAGTTCCTTGCTTGGTTCCCGGTTATGAATATCTGCACCGGACAGTGAGGCAGGAAGTGTTTTATATAATACATGCTTATCAGACAGAGGCGAGGTCAAGACGACCTTGGCTTCACGGCTTACACTTGGCTTACATCAGGTGCACCTGCAGGCTCCTCTCTGAGAGGAAGCATAACTCTAACTCAAACTTCAATTTAACATTAGTTAATGACAAACATCCATAACCTTCACCTAAATTCCCTTTACACACAGACTGCCCAACAAATGAAACAGATGTACTTGTAAATATATTCTTGCTTTCAGTGAAATGGTAGCTGAAGCTGCCTCCTGATATCAGTTCAGAGCTGCTCACACCTATTTATATTTTATTTACATTTTGAGTAGCTCTTTAGTTTAAAACCAAAGCAATCCCAAATCTGTGACTGTTTTTCATGTTTTCACCTTTTAAAAGTCTTAAACTGACTTGTACAAATATTTTCATGTACAGTATTGATGAACTGTTGATGGTCAATGGAAAATCTGCAACTTTTGTCCCACCCTCCACTGTTAGCAGCACACAAACAAGTGCTGCATTTCTTGTCCTGATCACTGATAATCAGATATAAGATCATTTCTTGTTAGTTTTTTCTTAAAATACTGAGGAATAATTGGTATTTTTAAGTTAACACACCTAAGTGTTTAATCAAAGTGTATGTCTGATCCAAACTGAAAGATTTAGAAATGTTTTTGTAATGAAAAGCACATGTACTAATTAGATTCATATGTGTATTTTTGTAAATAAAAAAGTGGTTCACGTAACAAATTGTGTGTGTGTGTTTTAATTATTACCATATATACTGTCAGAGTTCCTTCTAAATTACCATCACAGTGTAGAAGGCAGAGATCAGTGTCGAATTGTGTGACTCCTGTAGAGCACTTGACCTGCGGTCTGTGCTCGTCCTGGGTGACTCTGATGCAGACAGGAAGCATCTCTTCCAAACAGGAACCTTGAATCAGCACCAGGAAGATCCTTTTACTGTTTAAATATAGCACAGCACAGGTTTTTACTGTCAGCAGTAAATCTGTAGCGTCAGTCCTCTGCTCATCTTCACACTCATAACTGACTGCTGTTTCAACACTGTGCCACAGATTTCCTGTTAAATAACAGCTGCAAACTGTAGAACTGTAGCAATAACCCTAAACAGCATCTGCCTGGAAACTCTTTGTTACTTATTTACCTCAATAAAAGTTTTCTGGCATCTCAGAGAAATACTATCTTCTTTCTCTACAGCCTCCAAAAAGCCCTGAGAAGTATCTTTTAAATAAATAAATAGATTCTGCTTCTGCTGAGATAGGCACCAGCTCCCCCCCATGACCCTGTATAGAAAACCACATAGGAAGGATGGATGGATGGATGGATGGATGGATGGATGGAGGGAGGGAGGGATGGAGGGAGGGAGGGAGGGAGGGAGGGAGGGAGGGAGGGAGGGAGGGATGGATGGATGGACTCTGAACAAC